CTTATTTTCTTTCTTTTGCTTCACGCCACTTGGGTTTCTATCTTTTCTGCCAATCACTCGTTATCATGAGTATTCTTGTTTTTTATTTTTTTTCATCACTTTGTTTATTAATCGTTATTTTGTTTTATTTTATGCTGGAAATTACTGTTCTTGAATGTGTTATCATAATTACTGGGAATTATTATGTAAGATGATTTAAGTTTGTTTAATTAAATATTCATTGTGTGCATAATATTTGTGTATTTGGAATTTTGTATTTGGAATACAATTCATGAGAGCTCTAGTTAAAAAAAAGTTGCCATTTTCTGCAGTTACATAAGGAATGCTTATGATGATGATTGTTGTTAATATTGATTATTGACATCAGCAAATTAATAAAAAAACCTTTGCAATTGTTGTCAATATTGATGATTGACATCAACAAAGGAGTTAACAATGAACTCCATAGTTGGTAATACCATAAATGACATTCCCCTTACCAAACAAATAAAAACATGTAAATAAAGAACTTAATCATAATATGCTGGAATAAGAGAATACAATGCTTCTATAACAATATTTATAATACCAATTATATTGATTATGGAATTTAAGATACATGATGTGTATGTATTGTATCAACTATATGAACACTATAAATATGAATTTATAATCGTCATGATGAGCATCAGTTACATTAGTCCTATAAGCTTGTTGGTGGTGCTTGAAGTTATTCATTAAAAAATATATTTTTCCACTCATGCAAAGAATTATGAAGCCTAATTAGACCTTATTTTTTAAGCCTATGAGGCAAATCGTGTTAATTACAAGGTTTGGGCAATTATACAATAAGGTAAGATCAAAAGCTGCATATAATTGAAATACTTAATTTGAATACATAAAGCAAAATGATCATTTACCATGTCTTTAATTAGCTTGATTATAGACATTTACACCATTATAATCACAAGCTTGGTAGAAATGGCGCTTGGGGCTAAAGAAGTTGCGTAAGTCATAAGTATGATTATACTATATTTATTTATATGGTCAGAAAATTGATCTAAGCTCTTAATCATTAGTCAATAAAATTCTAAACATGTAGAGAAATTATCCTATAATAAAATAAAATATTAGGAAAAATACATTGACTATGGGCCGCGTGAAATTTATCATATAATATTGTAATTCAATCTTGTCATGCCAACGTATCCATTTCTACCAAAATTTGTAGCCTTGAGCACAACACATGTGGTGACCACTAATTATTTTATCATTAAGAAAGTATATTTGAGCATTCAATAAACAAAATACCAATCATAAAACTTCATGCTAATGGAGAACAAGTCTCTATGAATCATAATAGTCTTTTTAATCTAGTAACTTATCATGCTTATCACACATCATGCTTATCACACCTAAAAAGTCTTACATTCAAAATAATTGAATTATTTTAGTTACAAGGTGGATTATCATGTATAATTCTAAGCTATATTAATAATCTTTCGGTCGATTTGATTGAATTGATTCAATCCTTTATTAACCCAATTGAAACAAACCATAGTTTAGTTGTAAAATTGAACCCACCAAATCATAATTAGAACCAAACCACCCTTTTTTTAAATAAGCTTAATTTCTTATGATAAATTAAAGTGGAAATCTGGATTCTTCTAACATGCTTCTTTTTTATTTTTTTCTCTTGGCCATACCTCCACAATGTAAGCTTCTAGCCTAAATGTTGCTGCAAATTTTAAGCTACAATGCTTGGTACTGTAGCTGACTTCTATGTATTCTCTTGCTCTTCTATTAAGTTTTGTTACTTATAGGCTTGCTTTTTAATGTCCGCGGCGTTTCTGGTTGTTTGTGCTATTATTTTTTTGCAAATTTTCTAAACGCAAGTGGTTTGTTTTTGCTTGCAAACTGTCTTAGTGCTATTTTGCTGCTTCATTGTTGCACTGCACTGTCATTGCAAACTCCAATGCTACTATAATAATTTAGAAATAGCAATTGATAGCTACTTTTACAAAAAACTGACAAAACATGCAAGAAAAAACAAAACCAAGAAGTGGATCTGTAGGTCAATTTTTCTTAAGACATTGATCTATCGTGTAAAGCACAAACAAAGGGAAGTAAATAAGGGATGGTCACCATTTATCATGGAGTCACATATTGTCTTGGTGCTACCTTGCTTTTGTCATTGATTGCAATACTCTGGGAATGGAAATTAGCAATTGATTGCTACTTTCACCAAAAAATGAAGGAAAACTAAACTGAAGAAGTTGAAGATGGTCAATCATATTCTAACAATGATTCTTACCCCTTATCTAGGGTTAGACTGATGATATTGTTGACTGCAGATCAGAGTTGATGATGATGTAAACTTTTGCCATACTGACTTGTAGACGAGGTCATTCTCCCATTTACAAGCTTATATCAAGTTTGAATGGTCAGGATAAGCAAAAGTTGATGACTACCGGTCATGAATAGAATATGCAACCATTTATAGTAAAATCAGTGATGATGCTGAGATGACTCTAGCTTATATGAGTTTAGCGCTAATGACATGACTGCATTTGCCTGACTAAAGTTAATTCTTTATGGCTTGTCATGATATGATGCCCATCCAAATAGATGTTTAAACAACTGATATGTGTGAAAATCTATTGGATGGGTATATAGAAGATTAGCAGGAGAAGTAGCACGATTTGAGGCACTCTCAATGACAATCCGTGAATGAGCACATATCGACGTCTTGATATTAGGTGGTAATTATGGAAATAAATATTATAGATTTACTAACAGTGATGCACTATAACTAAAGAGATTCCCCACCCCCCAACCAAATTGCAAGTAAAATCTATTTGTTTCTTATCAATAGACTTTATTTCGCCATTATGATGTTGAGGACCATAGGGTACAAGGTCTAAAGGAGAAGTTAGAAAACTTTAAAGCTACTCAAAGAGGGGTCTTCTTTTGCTAAAAGATAGAAAAAAAGATCGGTGATGGGCCATTCCTTTTACAAGACCCGAACTTTGATAAGGTCTATGATCATTGCTAGATAATTGGTCTTACTAAATAAAAATGTTGGTAGCTACATCATGAATTAATCCCCCTAGAAATGGTAGAAATGTGAGAAAAAAATGATTGTGTTTTGGGCACATTGTGCTAAGTTCAGTGGATGAGGCAAAATTGTCTATTTTTTTGATGGAAATACTGTAGGATATATTGGCCTTCAATAAAAAAAAAAGATGATTAGTATCATCGACATTAACAACCGAAAGTGCAAAAATTAAGGTTTGGCACAATAGTCCATCCAATTACCTAATCCTTTATCTTGTATTTAGATGTGGTCAGGGATAGAGGTTGAATGCTCGTGCCGTTGAAATTTGCAATCATAAGGACTACATTGATGAGATGTTATGCAAGGCTGAATTGTTATGTTACTTTTTGTTGACCTCAAAATCATGTACATATCGTTGAATGTTGTTGGGTACTTTTTAAACGTTGTAATGTGTTATTGTAAAAATTTTTATGTGCACAAAGTGTTTTGAACAACTTTTTATTGGATTATGCACATTCATAATTACTTATTGGTGTTGATAGTGGGGTAAAGATCATTTGCAATTAACTTTTTATGCAGGTACTGTTGAAATTTGCAATCATAAGGACTACATTGATGAGATGTTATGCAAGATTGAATTGTTATGTTACTTTTTATTGACCTCAAAATCATGTACATATCATTGAATGCTATTGGGTGCTTTTAAATGATGTAATGTGTTATTGTAAACATTTTTATGTGCACAAAGTGTTTTGAACAACTTATTATTGGATTATGACACATTAATGATAACTGATTGGTGCTGATAGTGGGGTAAAGATCATTTGCAGTTAACTTTTTATGCTCGTGCCATTGAAATTTGCAATCATAAGGACTGCATGTATAAGATGTTATGAATGATTGAATTGTTATATGATTTTTTTTGACCTCAAAATCACGTACATATCATTGAATGCTGTTGTGTTGGGTACTTTTTAAACGTTGTAATGTGTTATTGTAAAAATTTTTATGTGCACAAAGTGTTTTGAACAACTTTTTATTGGATTATGACACATTCATAATAACTTATTGGTGTTGATAGTGGGGTAAAGATCATTTGCAATTAAATTTTTATGGGTCTTATGTGGTTTTACTAATCTTGAATTGGATTATGATTCATTCAGTATAACTTATTGGTGTTGATAGTAGGGTAAAGATTATTTGCATTTAAGTTTTGAGGGTTCTTATATGGTTTACTAATCACGAATTTTATGTTTTTGTTCTTTAACTTTGATGTGCTATGTATTTAACCTAAATATAATATTTCATCTTAGTAATATATATTTTGAAGGTGAAATAAATGAATGTTTTCCACACCGTACTTGGATACAATTATTGGATTTCTTACTTGAACTGTTTCTTATCTTTTTGTGCTACATGTATGGGTACTAGCAGGCAGTTCCAAGTTATTCTGCTAGACGAGCAATCTTTGAACAATATGTTAGGACACGTGCTGAGGAAGAAAGGAAGGAGAAGAAAGCAGCTCAGAAGGCTGCAATTATTGGTTTCAAACAACTATTGGAAGAAGCCTTGGAGGTTGTTGGTAGCTTGCTTGTTTCGCCCATTTTGTAATTATTTTGGTTGAGCAGACCATTCAATCGATGCTAATGTGCTTACTATTTCAGGATATGATTCACAGATTAGACTTTCAAACATTTAAAAGAAAATAGGGAGATGATCCACGGTTTGAGGTCATAGAACGTAAAGAAAGAGAGTTTCTTTTCAATGAAAAGTATGTTTTGTTCAAAATGGCTTACTAATAAGATTTGATAGTATCTGATGATGAATAATTGCATGGCATTTTATATACTTTTGGAGTGTTTTGTAGGGTGTTGCTAAGGAAGAAGGCGGCTGAAGAAAAGATTCATGCAGAAAGAGCAGCAGCTATGGGTAGCTTCAAGTCAATGTTGAAGGAGAGGCAAGACATATCTGCAATTAGTCGATGGTCAAAGGTAGCTTTTTATCATAATGTTTGTTTGTTTTTATTGTTTTTTTCCATTTGGTTGCCTTTCAACTATTGTGATGCAAGTGACTTGGAATTATTTGTTGGTCTGAAGTAGTTATGTATGTATTTATTTATACCGTGTGTTGCAGTTTCAAGATAAGTCAGGTTTTATGGCTTTATGTTTTATTTTTATTGTATCTTTAGATTGCATATTTGAATGTAACTTGTGTATTAGGTTTAAGCCTAAATTTGAAGTTGCTCACATCAGTATATCACACATCTATGATTCATTATTATATCACATTGTGGGAGGAAGAACATTATAAAATTTAAGACTAGTAAACTTTGAGAGTGACCAAGCAAAACTTTTTGGACTTGATTTCTAAAGGTATCATCTAAGGGGATCCATGGCTTAATTCTTGGAGAAATTTATTTGGTTAGAAAGGTCATTGGTTCAAGTCTTCTATCTTGTTATTTTTTGAAGAGTTAACTTTTGTTTACAAATTATTGAAAAAAAAGAAGAAAAGACTTTGAAGGCTCTCTTTAGACTCTAAATTGGTGGGGAGCCACATGGGGACTTTTGCACTTCAAATCCGACATCTAGGGGGCCAAGTGATTTTGGTTTTGTGCTTTTGTAAAGCTTGACCAACCAATATTTTTCCACCACCCGTTACCACAATCAAGTCTTAATTTTCCAAGGGGTTCTACTATATTGGAGATCGTTATAGCAAGCATTATTCTTAACGTTCCTCCATCCATGGCTTCTTCAATATTAGCATTGGAGCAACCCTTGGGAAAAGAAAGCAATTTAAAGGAAGGAATATTTTTATAAGTAAGTTTTCCCAATGCAAGTTTTTCCAATTGCATTGGGTAATCTACATATTTCAATGCTTATTTCCCTTATGTCTTTATTAGAAAATGGAATGTTTGGAACGTCTCTATGTGAATCTTGAGGTTCGATAGTTATCTCTACCTTCAAACGCAGCCGATTATCTTTACCCAACCTGTAAAATGACACTGACGTGATCTCTACTCATTTTTATTTGTGAGTTCCACTAGTTCAAATACTATCATATTTAAATATCATTTGCATGATTCTTACAGTTATTACCAATTGTGCTTAACCAACCTGTAAAATGACATTAACGTGATCTCTACTTTTTCTTATTTGCGAGTTCCACTACTTCAGATACTTTCATATTTGAATAATATCATTTGCATGATTTGTCCGAATATTACCAATTGCAAAATATAGCAAGTTAATTTGATTTTGATCCATCCTTTAAGTAAGTTTAATTTATACTTGTAATTTATAGATTTTTTCTAGGCAACCCTTTCGTGTCTAAAATTTATGTGTTTGTGCACTCTAATTATCTTAACCACAACACAAACCGTGACATATAATTTGATTTAATTTAAATCGCTTTTCCAATTGCATTGGGTAATCTAAATATTTTAATGTTTATTTCCTTTTATTGATTTATGTCTTTATTAGAAAAAGGAATGTTTGGAATGTTTCCATGTGAATTTTATATTTGATTTCCTAGTTGTCTCTACTTACAAAGCTAGCCAATTTGTTTTGACCAACCTGTAAAATGACACTTACTCATCTTTACTTTTTCTTATTTGTGTGTTCCACTACCTCAAATACTTTGATATTTGAATAATATCGTTTGCATGATTCATTCGATTATTACCAATTGCAAAATATAGCAAGTTAATTTGATTTCGATCCATCCTTTAAGTAAGTTTAATTTGTACTTGTAATTTATAGATTTTTTCTAGGCAACCCTTTCGTGTCTAAAATTTATGTGTTTGTGCACTCAAATTATCTCAGCCACAACACAAACTGACATAATTTGATTTATTCAAATTGCTTGCATAATTGTTTTTGTTTGTAGATTGTAAGCTAACTAGATGGCATGCCACCAAATTGAGCAACAATGGAACAATTTAAGGTTTAGTCAATATTGGCAAAGAACTTATTGCTAAGTTTAATGGGCATGTTGTTATGTTTGAATAAGTGCAACGTTCATTAAATGCAAATAATGTAAAAATGCGAACGATTTATCCTTTATGATGGCTCAATTTAATTACTTAAACTTTAAAGCTCCATCGAGAGTCTTGATATTAGCCATATGTTTTAGAAATGATTCATTAGGAGAAAATCATGCTATTGGAACACCTCGAGAAAATAAGGATGCATTTAGAGGAGAACACCACCTATGGAATGGGAATACGTCATTGATCTCACAATAAAACTAAAGCAAATGCAATAATTTTTGATGGGATTTATGTCTTCAAACAAATTCTTATATTGGCTTAGCCAAGAGAGAAAGTCATTGAGTTATATCAAATTTATGGTTTTCACAGTGTTTGTTACTAAAATGATATTGATTAGCCAAGCAAAATTTAGTCAAATATTGGGCAAAAGAAGGAATGTTTGTTGTGGTTATTATCATTTGTATTGAAATGAAAGAGTTGTCAATATTTAAATATTGTATAAGGCAGTCTGATAGAAAATTTAATGGACAATTAATTACTCTTATAAAAGAAATTATATATGTTTTTAAGTATCTAAATATTTTTGAGGATTTGGTTGCCAAGACGAAGTGTAATGACAATGATTGACAACTTGTTGGTAAATTTATAATTAGCTTTAGGATGAAAATAAGAAATGAAGTAGATGTTCATAATCCTCAACCACAACACAAACCATTCATTGAGAAAAAATGTTTGGACCCATCACTGAGATTGTAACGTATTCCTCATTTCATACACAAAGCTGTGTTGTTAGATTTAATCCTTCTTTAGCAAGTGCTCAGAGCATCAAAATCATTCATAGTCCTTTTTTGAGAATATTATGGAGATAATATGTTTAAATGTTATATGAAATGATGTATGTAATAACGCCGCAGAGCCAAGTATTATTTTTTAAACGAGGATGATGATTATCTGATTAGAAGTTAGAAGAGATATTAATGAGCTCCGTGTGATTGTTATAGATTGCTTAGCTGTTGGGAATAATAAAATGAAAGATTGAAGAATGAATTTTTTAGCATGTATTTTACATGTAAGAATAGTTATAGGCTAGTGAACGAGTGGAGCATTGTGTAAATGTGATATCCACCTATGAAATTAATGGCCAAACCTAAAATTTGGACCATATTCAAGAGTCCTTTCATGTGAACCACATATCTATCCCAATCATTAGTGGACATATGGTGCTTGTAAAAATGAGGACTTATGTGAATCATGTGTGATGTGATGTATTCGCTATGGATATGGAGGTGAAAGGGGGTGGAGCCGAGCTCGAGCCAACCTCGGCTTGAGCCTAAGCTTGTCTAATTAATTGAGTTCGAGCTCAAGCTTGAGCTTAAGTTTACTAGTTTGAGCTGCTTGTTTTATTAAAAGGGAGAAACTAATGTTAATTGAAGCTGGTGTTATAATAAAATGACAAATAAAATGAGAAATCAAGAGACAAATAATAATAAATCACTTGTTATAAAATATAAAATATCACTTTTTAAATAATTTTAATAATTTGAAGATAAAATTTTGAAATATCATATATTTTGAGTTTATTTTATATTAATATTTCTTTAAATGAGTTGGCTCACAAGCTAAAGAGTCGAGTTAGGGCAGGCTTGAGCTTAGCTTGTTGGTTCATCTGGCTTAGCTAACAAGCCACTTATTGAACCGAGCCAACTCACAAGTCGGCTTGAGTCACTTATACCCTTAATGTAGACCATATATTATTAGGGCGATCTATCGGTCGTAGTCACTTATACCCTTAATGTAGACCATATATTATTCGGGCGATCTTGATTGTTTGATATGAATCTTCTCTATTAGGGCAGTGAGAAAACTTGTGAAAAGGTTATCCCACCTCAATTCAACTATTTACACATTTATATAAAAATAGGCTTAAAATTCACTTGATTAGTATTACGTCATCTACTATGAAGGAGTCTTAATGTGAGAGTGATTATGCTACCTTTGAGCTTACATTAGTGTTTGGCACATCACTATTAACAGTGTTATACTAGGAGTTTTTATAGAGTTTCTTGATGCATCCTCTCTTCATCTTCATGTTTACGAGTTCTTGTGAAGAATGTGTATTTTTTGTTGTGGTATCTAACCTATTTTTTGAGTTTCTTGATACATCCTCTCCTTCTATGACTCTACTGGAGATGCATCATGTTTTAGATTTAGTCCTAAGTTCATTATTTTTAAACCTCCCACATTCTTGGTTGAACTATTTCAAGTATGTTGAATCTTTAGGTATGGTTTCGAAAGCTTTAGTCATTGTACTGCTTAGCTTTATTGATCCCTTAGGAAGAGTGTAACACAAAGAATGTGCATTGATACCGGAGTTATTAATAGAATTACTATTATTAAGTATAGGTTCTCTACACTTGGATATGATGGAATGATGGATTAAATCTTTGGCAGTACTTATTTTAATAAGATGGTTATAAAATTGGTTACCATCACATCGGGTTGAGATATGTGGATGAATGAAAGAAAGATTTTTAAAATCTCAGATGAACTGTGTATTAATCGTTGGTGGTGCCCTATACCTTAGGATCTAATGGTCTAAATTCATTTATGAGAATTATGAACACAATTTGAAATTAGTTATTGCAATATTTTTAGTGATTTATTTTAATGATTTCAACATAATTATCCCAAAATGAGATAATAATTTTTAGTTAGTTTTGGATAAGCTTATGAACTCTTTTCCTGCATTGAGATTGCTTGATTTCACTAAAACATATGATGCCTGAAGTGTAAGCATTGTAGGCATATTGAGTTAAGAGAATCATCTTGTAGCCTCTTTTAGTGAAAAAATGAATGATTCTAAATAAGTTGTTCTACATATGACAAAGTTTAATGCTATCATTGAATATCCCAATCTTTGGTCTTTACCTGTTGCATAGGATTTCATTTTACATACTAATTATAAGCATCGTAGGTTCATCAGTACGCTAAACATGCTAAGTTATAGACATATAAAGTGGGTGGAGTTCTTGCATGACTACTTTGTTCTCAAAGACAAGCTTGGTGTTTACAATAAACCAACAAATGTTTTATCTAGAGTAGCATTGGACATTAGATCTTTAGAGCATAATA